ATGTGACCACTAACTCTACCAGCGAATCCCAATGGGCAACGTGACTCACATTAGTCACTAATTGTTGCAAGAAACAGAGGGAAGTGCTAAGTATCTGACTAAATAAACCTCATGTCTTGTTAGTTTTAGGCCATATAACTCTCAGATAAGTTAGTTGGCTAAGCAGCATGACAACAATGCCACAAGGGTAAGCCTCATTATTAAAACAATTTAAGTTCATGTGTAACACCTGTACATATATGAATTCATCAGATATTGTTTATCAGTTGAATGTGTCCGCATGATACTTAGTTGAGGTGGACATAACAAAGATTATGTCAATTAATAATCAAGCCACCATTAATACAGGTCCAGGACGGACTACATGTGGTGGACCATGTCAGGTGTTAGATGACCAGTTAACACTGGTCATCTGAGGCCAGTATAAACATTTTACTAACTCATTTTAGCAATACAACATTAACTCAGTAGTTTATTACCATTATCAATTATATGATTAATTGGCTACGTACATAAACCCCTCAAACTTGTGTACAAGTAAACATCTAGCAGGATAATTTTAGAACCTACATTCCACTTTTAAATATACAGTCCATTCATTATTAATAATAATAAAGTAATTTCAATAAATTAATAACTTAATTTATAAATAAATAAGCAAATTCCTACTGGGAAAATATCTCACACGGTGGCTTTAACAAGAGGATGGTGGGAACAGTCAAATGTTGTCTTAGGAAAACCCCACACTGGCAAAAAAAAATCAATCTCTAGGAGCTCCAAATCATTGTCACGGAAATTGAGTCTCGAGACAATAACCGACAACTGACCTACCTTTCTAATGATAACTCACAACGTGAACCATTAAGTCCATCTCATCTGATGTACGGAGGACTTCTTACTCTTTTAGTGTCCCTCACTGACAAGGGATCAGAAGATCCTTCGTATGTCAGAGAGAACGACCTGGTACATAGTTATAAACATCTGTCCAGAGTAATTTGTCGGTGAAAGGAAGTTTGGGCCCAAGATACCTAACTGCTCTAAAGGAGTATTACTACGGGGCTAACAACCCCAAAAATAGAATTCAATTGCAACCTGTCGATGTTGTTCTGGTGGGCAGTGACGATCGACGCGCAAAGTGGCCTCTAGTCCGTATAGTATCAGACCATCCAAACAGCCAGGGGTGTCTTGAGAATTATGAAAGTAAAGTACACCACTAGCCTCAAGACACTAGAGAAATTAGTTCCTTTGGTGCTAGCCGGAAATGAAGTCACCGAAAGACTTCCCACCCCTGCAGCTCCAGTACTGCACATTCGTCGTTTGCGAACTGCCACACAACAGTGCAAAATTAAACTTAAACAATATTACTATAATTCTAAATATGAGCAATGAAGTGTTCTCCAGTCGTAAACATTGGACTCTGACCCGTGTTTCATCCCACTCCCCCGGAATTATCTGGAAAATTTCCACATCAAATATAAAAACTCTAATGTAACCACCGTACCTGCAATTAATTTTCAGTAGTACAAGGAGCCAATAAATACCTTAGTTAGTCATGAAATGATTACAGAGAATGGGGTATAGTACCTTGGATCGGCGATAGAACATTCTCCAACGTTTTTAACTAATGTTACATTAAACATCTTCTAGTCTCAAAACTGGTAACACAATAAACGAATTATTGCTATTAAACATATTCAATAATAATAATTAGTCAAATATACTAAATAAGCCACTTCTCTCGAAATAAAACGATCAGTTTTTGGACATGTCCAGGGAGGGAGGGAAGAAGAGCGGCCATTGTAAACAAGGCACTGGAGTAAGAGTAGGAGTTGGTGAATTTTGATCCCCACAAGTGGCTTTCCACAACACAAATTTCCTCCTGCAAGTTCTAGAAAGCAGCGTGACTTACAACAAAGGAAAAAAGTCACTATTTGTTGCCACAACTTACAAAACAGGAGGAAGGTGCCACAGTTCGGTTAGTCTATTAGCTCAGATATATTTGCCAATTATTTGTGACTAGCAATAATCGTTAGGCATAGGACAGCACCACCCATAAGGGTAAGTATCTCTAACTAACCACATTTATGGGCAACAATTACAGTGAGATTAAAATGTGAAACCCCCCAAAATGTATGAAGGGAAGTTTACTGGTGATAATAAATTATATAATACAGCCCATTCGCCGATAATAAATAAGTAATAAATACCATTAAAAACAATTTCTTGAATTAATAATGAAATCAATCACCGGCAGATTTCCCCAGTTTAAGCTGCTTGCTTCTCAGCTCTATGGACTTTTTCAGGTTCAAGAATTACTCAAAGTTTACACACCTCTCCACCTCACCTTGTGGGAACCGACCTGTGAGATTTATATTTATTTAATTTATATGAATTTATATATACGTTAATTTATATATTTCGATAGCAATTGGTATGATGTTAAGTGGACTGTATTTCTGCAATAATCTCACAAATCGATCCTTTCACATTAGGAGGGGGGAGGGTTATATTAAATTTATATATATGCAGCCAATCAAACTACAGTATTAAACTACATATATTGGTATACATTGAGGAGGTTCCTTATCTTATTGTACAGCAGGCTTAGTCCACCAGGTATAACTAGGATGTAGACACCAAATTATCCTCGTTTGTTGACCAGACCACACACTAAAAGTTGAAGGGACGACAATCGACTTGAGAATGGTCCAGGACGGACCGAAATGTCGTCGTCCCTTCAACTTTTAGTGTGTGGTCTGGTCAACATACTTCAGCCACGTTATTGTGACTCATCGCCTGCATATCCTCGTTTGAGGCTAGCTTCCATCACCCAGTAACTGATGTATCAAGTCTTACTTCCTCTTCTTGTTCCTGTCAAAGGGCGCTAGCTGTAAAGCCGGAATCCTAATATATGACAGCTATATCAGAGAAAACACTGAATAATAGATAAGATAAGGACCAAGGCTTAATTACCTCTATTAAGTCGATTATTTGTGTTCTAACCGGTTCGCCCTATATCTACTAACATTAACGGCCAGAAATGATTAGATAAACGGGTTTCGGATAGACACTTCTCTTGTGTTTGTTGACAGTGTGTTGATGATGGCAGAACACTACTCTGATCTCCATAAAACTTCGTCCATGAGAAATTATAGCAGCTGAATTTGCTCCACGACTCTGGTCTAACAACAATGGCTGACCACTTCCTCCTCCTGACGCTCCTGGCTTACTGTCCAGATGTCAGTAACTGATAGAAGGGTCACATTTACTTTATTTTGATACTGATAATTAAGTTAATTCATATGAGATGTTTTTATGATGGTAAAAGTCCAAAGACTAATGTATTTAAGAGTAATTCCCAACAAAATAGGTGGTGAATTTATAGTACTACGTGGCAATGATATCCCGTTTTCTATTGACGGAAAATTCCACTACAAGCTACATTTTCTATGGGTAACTTGTTTATACAACACAGCAGAAATATTATCTGCCGATTGCATGTAATATTATTAAATGGTGTCGGGTTTTCCGACATTCCACCGACACACTCCACCAAGAAATGTCCGGAACATGTCAGCAAGTGCAGCATCTGCACAGAAGACCATAATTACTCCATTTGCAAGGCGAAATTCCAGCGTTGAAGGCTTAACTACCTTCAGTGTTTCTGAGATGATATTTCCTGCAGGGCAGACGCCTTTACCATCAACGGAACCTGCCTCAGCAACTGCACAGCCTGAAACACCTGTTGCTAACCCTCCATCTGACCCAGTAGGGGAAGAAGATGCCCCAGGTCACAATGTTACTGCCACTTCCACGAGGATTATTGCCGATATTCTACGAACAGCGGAAACGCTCATTGATCCATCTACTCCAGCTGTAGTTACAGCTACCATTCTGCAACCATCTCCACGACCTGCTACTACTCAACCTTCAAAGAACACCGTCTCAGCTTTTGATTCTTCAGACGAAGATATAACACCATCCGTTTTTCAGCAAAAGTTTAACTACAGACCGGATGATTTCCTTTTGGACACCACATCAACAACCTCGAACGAAAACACAGCAATGTCAACTAGGAGTAAAACCAACCGAGGGGCCTCCTCAGTAAAACCCATGAAGACAGCTAGGAGAAGGAAGAAGAAACAAGAAGAAAAGCACGAATGAAGAATCAACAATGACTACCATCAAGTACCATCAACTGCCATCATTTTTCAAGTACATGAACAACAAAAAGTGCACCACACCAAACGTGAAGACGTTTTCATGAAGCCTACACCAGCGTTTGGTGTTTGCCTACACCAGCATGAAGACCAACCGTCGCAAGCCCCCTGCCAGGGAAGATAACCTCAAGAAAGACAAGCTCCACTCCGAGATCGATACTTGATGCCAACCCGTGGAGGACAACCCACCGAACTTTCAAGGCTCCTCCTTCACCATCCAAATCCAGAATTTTATCTCCTAATCATTCTTCCTCCCCCAACCTTTCCAAGCTCTTTGGACATTGGACTTCGGAGGGTTGGGGAACATTGTTAACAACTCAGGTGAACGCTTGACCATGAAACGTACATTCGCCATCATAGCTGAAGCAGACCTTGCTACCGCACAAGGGCTCAAGTTCTTTTTAGTCAAAATTCCTCCATTCCAGGTCAAGAAGAAACGCTATTACGATCTCCAACAATCTTTCAAGTGTTAAAAGTATAAACACTCCACCATGAAATGTCTGGAACGCGTCACCAAGTACAGCATCTGTGCAGAAGATCATCACTATTTTATTTGCAAGGCGAAATTCCAACGTTGTCTGCTTTGCGATGGTAACTATGTTGCAATTTTCCTCTGTTACCCATGTCTAAAGAAGGAAATACAGGAAATGGCTGATATGAAGAAACCTTTGGGGAAAGGAAGAAGGATGAGATGAAATTCTTGAAGAGGATTTGGATGGTGAAGGAGGAGGCTTTAAAGTTCGGTGACCTGTCCATAATAGTTTGGCAACAAGTATATACCTCGGAGTGGAGCTTGTCGTTATGGTGTTCTTCTTCCGTGGCAGGGGACTTGTGGTGTGGCAGTTGGTCTTCATACTGGTGAAGGTGAGGTGCTTAGTCTGCCTTGGAGGAGGCATCTTCCCGTTTGGGGTGGTGTACGTTTGCTGGCAGTTGATGGTAGTTGAGAGTAGTCGATGGTAGGTGTTGGTAGTGTTTCTTCATTCTTAGTGGGTCTTCATTCTTCAATCGCTGATCATCAGACTTGCTCCTCTTTTTTTCTTATTTTTCCTTGCAGTTTTCTACAAACTTGGAGCGCTGGTCTTCTTAGGTTTCGCGGAAGTCGTGGTTTTTTACTTCTCGAAGAAATGTCGTTAGAAGTTATAGGCCTAGGTGTCCAGTAGGAAATCATCAGGTCTGCAGTGAACTTTCCGCTGAGGAGATGATGTTCCCACTGAGACTTCTTCATCTTACGAATCAGTTGAATCAAAAGCTGAGGCAATGTTCCTTGAAGGCTGAGTGGCAGCAGGTCGTGGAGAGGGTTGCGGAATGGTTGCTATAACTACAGCTGGAGTAGACGGTTCGGTGGGCGTATTTGCGGTTCTTAGAACGTCGGTAGTAATCTTTGTGGAGGTGGCAGGAACGTTGTCGGCTGGAAAGTCGTCTTCTTCTACTGGGTCAGATGAAGGTTTAGCAGCAGTTGTTACAGGCTGAGAATCTGCCGAAGCAATTTCCGTTGATGTTTAAGGCGCCTGCCCTGCATGAAGCACCGTCTCATGAAGTCTGAAGGTAGTTAAGCCATTTAGCATACAGTGTGCTTAGAGTTGTGACTAACAAACTATTGTTAGACCCAGCAATCTTCTGAGGAAGGCGCAGCAGAACAAGTACCATACCCGCGTCTGAAGTAGGTCGAGATTGGGTTGTTATTGATTGGACGTTAGGCCCCTCAATGAGGAGTCTGGGAGGTCCGGGGCCGAGAGGCGCAGCCTAGCTGAACAGGAAAATCTTCTGATTAGATGGAGGGTTGGGACGGGCGCTGGCGAAAGCGGTGTCGCTAGTGGTTGAAGAATGTCTCCTCGCATCGGCCAGTTCCTGTATTTTCTCTATTTCGACGTTAGCAACGGTGGGAAATTGCAACATGGTTACCATCGCAAAGCAGACAACGTTGGACTCTTGCAAATAGAGTAGTGGTGGTCCTCTGCGCAGACACTGCACTTGGTGACACTTTCTGGACATTTTTACTCACCTAGTTGTTCTCACCTAGTGAGCTTGCGGGGGCACCCAGCAAGGTGCCGGCGAGAGAAAGTTAGGCCTGATATGCGCATCTTCAAGTGCGGTGCGGATGGGAAGTGATTCGAAGTGGTCGATGTTAGTGCGTACTTGTAACAATTGAAGCATTGTTGGAGATTGTAATAGTGTTCCTTCTTGATCTGGAATGGTGGAATCTTGACTCCGAAGCCCTTGAACCCTTGTGCAGCAGCAAGGTCCGCTTCAGCTATGCTCGTGAAGGTTATATTTATGGACAAGCAGACCCTGAAGATGGGGGTGAATGATGACCATGATGTCAGTTGGTATCACAGGAGAGTTCTCAGCTTCGATTGCGCCCGCAAGTTCTTGGAGTTCTTGGTTGATGATCCACTCACTGGCTCTCCTGATGAAGACAGTTCTCTCAGCAAGGTGCCGGCGAGAGAAGGTCAGGCTGATATGCGCTTCTTCAGGTGCGGTGCGGATGGGAAGTAATTCGAAATGGTCGTTGTTATCCTTTTGTGAGTAGAAGAGAACAACATCCGTACCCTCCTGATGAAAATCGAGAAGTGTGACGTTGGTGCAGATGGAGAGGGTTTGCAGTAGGTCTGCCGTTCTGAAGGCACGGTCGTCCAGGAAGGTAGCCCCTCACTCTCTAGAAGGTACACTTAGCTTTGTGATAATGGCGAAGGCTAAGTCGAGGAGATACAGCTGACCTACCCTCCAGGGTAGGGTTGAAGGAAGTGCGCTCCCTCACTCTCAACACTGAAATAGACAGCTTAATTATTTCCGACTCCCTTTCCTCACGACTAGCAATAAATAGTTTGCAATCAGGTAATTACGTGCTTGTCTCAGAAGCCAGACATAGATATATAAGCATACTTAACAAGGGGGTTATCTTGAGATCTTGAGGTTATCTTGAGATGATTTCGGGGCTTTAGTGTCCCCGCGGTGCGGTCCTCGACCAGGCTTCCTCCCCCAGGAAGCAGCCCGTGACAGCTGAATAACACCCAGGTTCCTATTTTTCTGCTAGGTAACAGCAGAAAAGGGTGAAAGAAACTTTGCCCATTGTTTCTCGCCGGCGCCTGGGATCGAACCCAGGACCACAGGATCACAAGTCCAGCGTGCTGTCCGCTCGGTCGACCGGGGGGTAAATATAGAAATGTTGTGGATTCCTTCTCACATTCGCCTCCAGGTTGACGCCCTATGTAAGGTCGCAGTAAATAAAGACGATGAACGAAACTGTGAACGCCAAGAAATCCGGACTCCACCTGCCAAAGATTATTGGGGAATATAAACCTGGGTATGCGTATGGAAATGGATGAAGTTGAAGAAAGTAACAGTGCAAACTGGTACCAGCAGGTCCATTGTTTATCACAATGAAATGTGTAAAGTAAAATATGTGTATGGGGCAAGTAACAAAGTCAGAAAGACTAACAGACGTTGCCACAGCTCGAATAAGACTTGGCAACACAGAGGCTCACACGGGAGCAAATTCGGCTCCTGTTAAATTTACTTGGACGTAGTGTTATGGAACCCAAAGGTGTACCATTGTCAACACGCTGTCTACAAATACAAGTTAAGTGTCTATCCGAAACCCGTTTATCATTCATTTATGGCCATTAATGTCAGGATATAGGGTTAGCCGGTTAGAACGCGAAATCGCCTCATACTAAAGGTAATTAAGCCAGGTCTTTAAGGTTCCATGTACTGTATAGTGTTTTCTCTGATATAGCTTGTCATATATAGGATTCTGGCTTCACAGCTAGCGCACTTTTGACAGGTCAAGACGAGGATGCAAGATTATGTGCACCAGTTACTGGGTGATAGAAGCTACCTCAAAGAGGATAATTTGGTGTCTACACTCTAGTTATACCTGGTGGACTAACCTGCTGTACTATAAGAGAAGGAACCTCATCAATGTATGTAGCTATTACTGTAGTTTGATTGGCTGCATATATATTAATTTAATAAACCCCCCTAATGTGTAGAGGATCGATTTGTGAGATTATGAGATTATTGCAGAAATACAGTCCACTTATCATTATACAAATTGCTATCGAAGTATATAAATTCTATATATATTCATATAAATTAAATAAATATATATCTCACAGGTCGGTTCCCACATTATTTGGTCCTTCGGAACCGAATTATTTGGACCACCGGATACCGGAATATTCGGTCCTATGAACCCACATTTGGTCATCTTAGTACCGGATGAACCAGTTAACCAGTGGATTCATTAAATATACTAGTGCAGTGTTATTTAAACAAAGCCAGCAGTCAAGACGGCAGCGTAGCCTCGAGGGAGCTCAGGAGCCTCCCTCAGCCCAGTTCAGCTTCGTCAGCGGTTTCATGCACACCCACAGATATTTGGTGGCGTGTTATTTCGTGAAATGACAGCGCTAATATAGAAGCCAGCCTAATTAGTGACTGTGTCTTCGCGATATTGTTCACGGATTTCGTGGTGTTACATTTCGCGAGAGATTATCTACGAATTTTGTGGACTTTATTTCGCGAGGTCACTAATAATATTTAATACTTCTAGATAATATTAGAAGTTTCATAGAGGCTAATTAAGAGGCTATTATCAATAATTGTGTATATTATTTCTCCAAAATAGAGAATCATTTAATATATACTGCACTAGTGTTCACAGTATAATATTTACTAATTGCCAACCCACAACAGGGTAGGATATGACTAGTTGAACTATTATTGTTCATCCTAGTCCCATTATTACCATAGTCAGTTGTACTATATTGATTAACCTAACACCATTAATGAATGGTGCAGACCCTATTTTGGGTGTAATTTTTATCAACTCGAGTTGAGTTGTATATATAATAATTTACTTATGATCATTACACCTTTGAGTGATTAATTAGTGTCTCTACCATCCTAGGGTGATATAGAAGAGCTAACCTAAAGGTACTTCCATGACACTGGTTTATCACTCAAATCATTAGTGTGTATGATTGTATATATATAATGTGTATTAATTTTAAGTGCTAACCTCTAGTAGAGGTAGGATTATTGCCTAGTGAGTGCAGAATTGACCCTAGGCTACCATCAGTGCTTGTTCAGTATTATGAGCAGCCCAAGTACAAACCCCACAAGGCTTCACCAACGAGCCAGTATGGATAATGCAGGGAGAATGGAAAGAACCCTTGCAGGTCTTAAAGGCCACTTAACAAGACAGATCAAGAAATGTGAAGATTTGTCACAACAATCTCAAGTTGATTATGCTGACCTGGAAAGCTATTATCAAGCAGCTGCAGGTAAATTTGAGCAAATCAAATGCCAAATGGCTGTCCTTGTGGGGACAGACTACTACCATCAATTCATTGGTAGCCCTACTAAATATCAGGGCATAACCATGTTAAACTATGCAGGAGGTAAATTACTCTCAGGCCCAGTATCAAGCCTGAGGAGACCTATGCCTGCAGATAAACAATACCAGTAGAAATCTAAATTTGTCAGCTGATTATATTTCTCCAGTAGCATTATACTAAGGAGATTACAGCTGACTATAGTAACAGAGGTTGATGTTAGTATCATCATTTGAAGCTGAAGATGATTTCATGAGGCCTCAGTGGCAAATCAGTGAACAGTAGCCTAAAACAGCTACAAGTCACTGCGACCAATGTCACTGAACCCACTGCAGTCTCAGAACCATACTTTACTTTAATGATGAGCTATTCAATCTTCTGAATCAATTAACTAAATTAAACCCTAATAAATCTGATGACTGATTTGATACATTTATTATTTAATCAAGATGTATTCCATGGGCCTCAGTGTTTATATATCAGTGACTAGTTACCTGAACAAACTTCAAGTTATATCTAATGTCACTGATCTCACTGCAGTCCCTGAATCATACTTGACTGTAGTACTTGATCACATTCAGTCTTCTGGGTTAAATAATATGTATTAAGGCTTGAATATTAGCCTTTCAAGAGTTGACAGGGAAATGAAATTGCATTAGACTTCTAACCCCTGCAACTCTAGTACGGGACATCCGTCCTGTACGAACAGACACACAAATGTGTGATTACTAACTACTAACATCAAATTAATGTAATAATTCGAAGGAGGAGTATCGGTGTTCGTCTGT